AATGTCCAAAGTAGGTGAGAGACAAAGTCTTGCCATCCTCACTTCTATCTAAGGAGTATTCTTGTTATACTTCTCCCAAGGTGGATTTATCTGTTCTTCTGGCAGTCCATGCTATTTCCAATCTTCTTCGCCAATATCATAATTCAAATGCATGGATTTTTCCCTTTGGTCGCTTGCCTGATGTGATTTGAGATTTTCTGAGAGATTACTTATGCATCATAAAACTCACTCTTTTAAAATCATATCGATCTGAATGAGGGGGAGGGCAGAGTGGAGATCCAAAGCCCATCTGTAGATAATTGGACATCCCCTCACAGGAGGGTCATAAGGAAGACACAAGCCAGTCAGGGTGCAGTACAACACAGACGAAACATACAACTTTCCTCTAGTTCTTTAATGCTTCCTCCTGCCCACTATCATGATCCTCATTCTACCTTACAAATCCGGCTAGACCAGAGCATGTACACGGGTACAGATAAGAGCTTGCAACACAGGAAATCCAGGACAGATAAACCCCTCAGGGCCAATAATGAGTGTAGTGATTCCAGGAGGATAAAGGGAAGGCAGGGGGAAGAGAGGGGGAACTGATCACAATGATCTACATATAACACCTTCCCAAGGGGATGAACAAAAGAAAAGTGGATAAAGGGAGACAGTGGTTGGTGTAAGACATGAAAAAAATTACAAATTATCAAGGGTTCATGAGGGAGGGGGAGGGGGGCGAATGTGATGATACCAAGGGGTCAAGTAGAAAGAAAGAAAATGTTTTGAAAATGATGGCCAACACATGTACACATGTGCATGACACATCGGATGGATGGATGGATTGTGATAAGAGCCGTAAGAGCCCTCAATAAAATGATGGATAAAACCTCACACTCTTTTAAATCGCACAATTCCATCTCTTATTTTCTTTTTCTTTACTTATTTTCCTCAGTGTTTTGATGAAAGGGTTAGATACGCTCCTGATTTTAAAAACACACAAATCATGTCTAACTGTCCTATAGATGGCAGCATTGAGCAATCTATTTTGGTAATAGGTGGCTTTTCCATTCCCGGGAATTTTCAGTTAGGAATGAATTTTTCATAGTGTATTTCATTACCATGCTCCACAATATTAATTTAGTGTGAGATGACAGGATAATACTTGTACCTGCTCCACACGGCTTCAGCTGGATGCCACACACGCGTCTCCTTTTATTGGGTGTGAACCAAATGTAGACTTGCATTTCCAGAACAAACCCATTAATAACATTTTTTTGGAAAAACTAGAGAACAATCGAACTTACTACAGCTTAATTATAGGAATTATTAACCACCTTTCACGTAAGTAGTAAAACATTGGCTGGAAGCACGAAATGGCAATCCCATCCGATGATCGTTTAGGACAGTGATCACAGCCTCACAGAACGGTCACTACAATCTGGGGTCTTTCATGATTTCTATAGACTATGTTAGCCATCGAGTTGATTTGAAAGCAGACATCCTTTACCACTGAGAGACAATGAAAGGTATTTTTGAAAAGCCTTTGTAATAGCAGCTGATTTAATAGGATGCAAACCTGAGTCTTTCTGTTCTGGTATCTCTAAAATGCTCATAAATTAAATTTATCTCGAACCCCACCCCCACACACTTCTTTTTTCCAGGCAAGGGGCAAGTGTATTTTATTTCCCATAGAGAGTTTCTATAGGTGGAGAAGGGATGGTACTTGAATTCATTGAGTAAATCTACGGGTTTAAATGACTTTTCTCCTATATGTGAAATACCTACCCCACTCCAACGCCCGCGCTAAAGATTAATCCTGTAAAACGCCCGGTTGGTCTTTCTCAGGTAAGAAGGTTACCAGTAAACAAGCCCTTTTTTGCGCGCCCCCCCCCCTCCCGCCCCTTCTCCCTTGCCAAGGGTCACGGCCCACACAGTTACATTTCCCTACTAACTTGAGGCGGGCGCATCCCTCCTAGAATTCCCTCCGCTGTTTTTTGCCTCCTCAGTGCCACAACAGCTATTTATAGCCCAGCTATAGTGGGCACGCGCGCCCACCACACCACGCAGTCAGATGGGAGGGCTTTCTGTTCAACAGTGTGGACGCGCATTCCAGGTTTGGAAGAGGAAGGTGAGTTCAGAAACAGATTCCCAGGCCCGGGTGGGGCCGGCCACTCCTCTGCAGATCTATCCAATTCCCAATTCACTTCTAGGCAGCAGCCGAATGGCACCTACGGTTTTTTCCAGCCCCCTCTTTTTTACTACGCTTTGCAACCTACCTTGGTACCCTTACCCTCCCTCCCTATCTCCCCTTTTTCAATGCAAGGCTTGAGAGACAGGCAGCCCTACCAATCAGCAGCATGCCCACAACTCAACCCTCCCGTCCTGCCCCGCTTTAGGCCTTGGCGCTTTGCTCCGGGGCCCTGCTCCGACTGGCCAGGCAGCGTGCTGCGCTAGCATCCTGCAGTGCTGGGGAGCGGGAGGGGAGGGTCTCAGGGTGGGATGAGGGAGGGAACCCGAAATGACGCTGGTCTGGAGCATAAAGCCATATCTCTTCAAGCGGAGTGACAAACGTCATTGGGGGGTGGGGGAGTTGGGGAGTGGTAAGGTTATGAACGCCCTTGGAGCGAGCAGGGAGGAAAATGCTTGTTTGTAGGTCAGCTTGAATTAGGAACATAACATAAAACATAACCTTTGGGGAGCAGGTGTGTGCTGTGAGACATCACCGGAGCCAGGTGATTTGTGCCTTTTCAGGTAGACCAGGGTTGAAGACTTCTGCCATTCAAGAAGTACACCCCCCCTCCCCGCCGTGGAAGTGAACTGCCAGTAACCCTGTTTTCTCCCAACTACGCTTATGGTCAGGGGGCCCTAGGGCTCGGGTGTTAAGCGCGGGTTGCTGACCAAAACGTACCAGGTCAATGGTTCGATCCCGCCAGCTGCTCCCTGGGGAAAAATGCAGCAATCTGCTCTCGGAAAGATATAGCGAGGCGTTCCTTTGCTCTATAAGGTCCCTGTGACTCCGAGTGGAGGGCACTGGGGATCCTGGAAATCACGGGTGGGGTAGGAGGGGGCATGTCTGGGGTGCTACCAATGCTTGGTGGGAACATTTCAGCCCATCTTTTCGCGGGTCCCTAGCATGACTCTGTAAATCACAAATTGATTTTGGAACGTGATTAGGCTTCCCCTAAAGCCCTCACTTGGTTGGGGGAGTGGGAGAAGCTGCGACATTGACATTTCCTCTGTAGTAGATCAGCGTGGGATAATCCCACAGCGTCGAGCTTCTTGTGTGTGTGTGTGTGTGTGCCTTTTTTAAATTGAGAATGACCACGACAACCTCTCCCCATCCCTGCCCTTGGACTTTCAGCAGTCCCTTCGGAGCGTATTTGGACATTCTAAGATGGAAGGCTGGCCCAGAAGTCCCTTAAAACCTCTGCAAATCCACGCATCTTATGATCCATCACCCAGAAACCGAAATGCAGTTTATCTATTTCCTGCGAGAAAACCCCAAAGCTGGAAACTCCCCCCCGACACCCCTGTTGGGCTGGATCTTACCTGCTAGGTAAGATGCAGTCTAGCTCCCGCGCCCCCTCCTCCCGGGCCCTCCCACTCGGGGCTCTGCAGCCGCAGTGCCCCCCTT